TTGCCCTGGGAGCCAGAGTGGTAGCTCACCAGGCCAGGCAGGGGCAGTACAGACTGTCAGGCCCCAATCCTGATGTGTGAAGGCAATGCAGGGCCCCAGGGTCTGATCCTGGCCTGCAAGGGCCAACTGAGGCCCCATGGGGCCCGATCCTGGTACGTGGGGCTTGATCTGGCCTAGGGACTGGCCCGGCACCAGGCACCTGGCCAGCAGAGCCAAAGCTTGAGCACCACTGTTCTAGCAGATGGTGGGAAAGGTCATTTGTACAGCGCTATTTACTCAGATTTTCTAGCAACATAAATTGCTGGTGGTCATACTGGAGGTGGATCATACAAAATCTCTATTTATAATAATTTTCCATTAACATTTTCAAGCCCAGTGCTGGAAGCAGCCCATCTTACTGAAAAGGGGTATCATCTTTTTTTTTTGTGATGGCATAATGTGGTGAACCCCTGCCTCCCTCTCTCCTCTCAAAAGGTTTGCGTTTCACAGTTTATTCCTGGTTACAGGAATGGTTATTAAAATACAGACCAGATCCAGTCTTTTTCTGACTCATAGATTGCTAACCCCTGGTTTAGATGACTAAGCCACTCTCCCTTCTTTAGAAAGAGCCAGATATAATTACAGAATTGGGGGGGGGTAATGTGTGTTTAATCCTGCAGACTTTTAGGACATGTCTACATAAGGGAAAACGATGTGTGACAGGCAGCAGGGGGGCAGGCCAAGCAGGGGATAAACTGCTTGACCTCCCCACAACACCTACCCCCTATAAATTTGTTATAATTTTTTATGTATAACATCTAATTATTGGGGGGTTGTCTTAAATTCAGGGTCATCTTAGATTCAAGTAAAGACATTATCTGATTATTAGAGCAAAGGATCAAATATCAGGAGAACTAGCTTCCTTTCCCAGCTTTGCTATGGACTTCTGATCTTGGGCAAGACATTTCCTTGGAGAATAGTGCTGTCCCATCTTGGTAAAATGTTTATTATCGTTGGTGAAAAGCCTACAACAAATGCTATTTCCTTAATGGGAAGTGATGTGAGTATTTGCTTTTCTGTCTTTGGTCTCTCTTTATCTCATAAGGTTCGAGATGATTGATGCTGCAAGGGGCAAGTTACGTGTGAAGGTCAGCTACCTAATGGTTGTCCTGACAGTACTGGGATGCCTAGCAATGGTCATTCAAGGGAAGCAGGTGAGTATTCAGAGCTGACTGGCAAAGTGGAGCTTAACCTTCTCACCCAATCTTCAGATCCCTCTTGGGAATATAATGTAATAGGAAATACCAAGGAAGTGATAAAATAATGAGCCTGATACTTTCTCAGAACTTGCCCTCAGTATTTTGTGCAGTCCAGAGTAGAAATTTAGAAGTCATAGTGTTTAAAGGAGAAAAACATGAAAAACTGTGGCTTTCCCCTTGCAGGCTGGCAGAGTTCCAGCCTGCAAGGTGCTGGGGGAGTGGGATGCACACATGCACATGGCCAGGAATACAGCCCCATGCAGAGGTGGAGAGAAGCTCCTACAGGTAAGTTTGGGAGGGGAGCACATTGCAGCAGCCATGGTGAGGGAGGGAGGGAGGGAGTGGGGTAGGGTTGGTATCTGAGGCTGGGTGCACTGTCCAGCCTCCAGGGTAGGGGCGGGAATGTGCGACTGCAGTACCTGGAGTAGGGTGGGTGGAGTAGGGTGGGGAGGGGAGGCTCTGTGCTGCCACCACCGGGTGCCCCACAACAGCCATACCACCATAGCTATGTTCTCAGGTATAAGAGAACCTTTGCCTGACCCCCAAGAAACAGCTTAATAATGGGGAAATAGTGATAGCCTGTGTCCTTTTAATTCCATTAGGAAGTGCCACTTCCTCACATTTGGAAGGAGAGTTTTCCCAAGTGATTTTTATTAACAAAAAACCTGGTAGTACAGTTAAAAAAAAAACCAAGCATAATCCAGTGAAGTTCCTTTCACCCTCCATTCTCAGTCAACCCCAGTGAGATTGGAGGGTTCTTAGTAGGGCTGTGCAAAGCTTTGGAGGAGATTCAGCCCAATTCAGCGGCCGAATCTCTGAATCGAATCAGGGGACCAATTTAAAGGTCCAAATCAATTCAAAGCTCTACGAATCTTCGCTTCCCCAGTCCCCCCCATTGCTGTCCCCGCCTGCCCCAGCTCCATACTTCAAAAAAAAGTTTCTATCTTTAGGTTGGTCTTTTTTCTTAAAGGGCCAGAGCTGGCCCGTGCAGGGCACCTGGGGGCGGGGGGGGGAGGTACAATTCAGAGGCTCATACAGAGGCCCCCATGCAGTGGGGGGGGCAGCGGGGATTGCCTCCCACCCAGCAGCACCTGTTGAGCTGGGGCTTTTTTTTCCCCAAGTACTGGGAGCTGGGGTAGGCAGGGCAGCCATTGCCGGGCTGGGAGAAGGGCAGGGGATGGGCCTGGCTGATTCGGCCGAATCAAATCACTGTCCCCCGAATCGGCCAAATCCAAATCTGAAGCGAATACTAGCCGCTTTGCACAGGCCTAGTTCTTAGCGTCTGGTAGGATCAGATCCTACAATTTTCTCAGTTACAGCACAAGAAGTCAATAAATGTGGGAGCTTAAGGTCCAAACAGCAATATTAGTTGAGCTACATTCCATAAATGTAAAGTCCTGCCTTGACATAATTGTTAGCTGTTAGAGCTAAATTATGTTAGTTGTGCAAAAGCCATGTCTACGTGGCAAACCCACTGTCCCTTGGGGTCTGTGCCCTCAAGCATACTGCTCTGTTCTGGGAACGTTGTCTTGTAAATCAAAAGCCGTGGAACTGTTGCCAAAAGATGGGTTCACAGGTACTGCTGAGTAACAGTGCTAATAAACCCACCTCCAAGCTAATGGGCCTGCCTCTGGCAGCAGCTGTATTGCTTTCCGGTTTAGGCAACTGTCTACCCAGAGCAATGCAGCATGTGTAAGGGCACTACTGCTGGGGACAGTGAGTTTGACACAGAGACCTGGCCAAAGCCTGTGTTAATTGTTGTATGGCTTGACTTTGGCCATGTTAACATCATATCAAATCAACAATGAGCTTTTGATGAGAGGAAAAGATACAGCCCCAAAGCATCCTTTCTGAGCAGGCAAGCACAGTTTCTTGTAAATTCACAGTAGTGTCCCTGAAAAATACACCCACTATTTGCTGAACCTATCACATGCACATATTCTTGACTAAGTTAGCACTCAGACAGTTTGTGGTGTTAAATCTCATGATCCCCAACATTCAGAACATACTACTTGGGGCCTGGCCACAAGGTAGGAGGGTCAAAATTTAAGAGGTTGTATGTGGCCAGAATAGATTTCCTAAGTTGCTTCAGCATGTGCAGGTATGCTGAAGTGTACATTATGCTCCTGCACTGAACACTTTGTAGTATGTGCTCAGTCGGACATGTGCAACTTGTAAATTTGTAGAAAACTAGTCTCAAAATTTGTTATTAAGTCTTGCTTTCCTCAGTTCAGAATACAGGGAAACCTTGATTTCAGAATACAGGGAAACCTGTAATTCAAAACACAGGGGACCAGAAAATTCCAACTTGAAAATAAATGGGGTTGAAATAATATAGCCACAATAATTTGCTTATATGCAGACTACAGCAGTACAGACTTGGTTATGCAGGAAGCCACGCAGGCATGAAATAGAACATTAACAGAAAAACCCCATGCTATAATCATTGTTTTAGTTTTATTTATTTTTGTAAACTGCTCTACTTTTTAGCATAAGCACTCATTTTATGTATGTTTTAACATATTGCAGGCCATGTAAGATATTAGTTGAAAGCCAAATGTTTTGTGATTTAGAATGTGTTGGGGCTGGGCCCTAACAGAGTCAACAGCGTTTCAAGCCATGGTGACCCACAGGCCAGCACTAGTCAGTATGTGTGTTTACTACAGAGATCTCCCCACAAAAGGATCCATGTGCTAATTAGGCCTCCACTCACAACTGGAACCAGGTGTTGTTGTCAAGTCCTAGGACCCTCCAAAAATTTAATGTGCAGATGGAAAACGGGGCCACACCAGTCATATGTGACGCACCTAGTGAGGAGGCAAAAGAGCCTCTCATCTACATAGCCATTTGGTGAGGTTTGCACATTTAAGGATGATAAAAGAAATAGGAATCTTTGGAAATAAGAAAAAAGGTACCTGCTTAGCTGTGGGAGTGAAGAGGGAGTTGAAATGTAGTCAATGTAATGGTTCGCCATGACTTGAAAAAGTCAGTGCTGAGGGGAATGGAGCACAGTGGGCATTATGCTCAGATTCAGATGGACTGCACTAACCCAGTGGCTCTCAACCATTTTTGTACCGGGACCCAGTTGCCAAGTTCGATGGCTTGTCCCAAGCCACAGCCCCCTGGCATTGCTGGCACCCCTGACCCCCAAGTCACAGCCCTGCCCACCCAGGCCATGCTGGCACCCCTCACTTCTGATCTGCAGTCCCCTGCCCCTGCCCAGCTCTCCCGGAGAGGGGCCCCCAGCTGCCCCTGGCCCACTTGGGCCAGAGCGTGAGCAGTGAGTGCTGCCCCCATCCTGTCCCCCAAGCAGCGAGTGTGGGCCCCTTCATCTATGGGTACTGGACTCATGCTGCTGGCCCAGGCACGCAGCTCCCTGCTGCAAAGGACTGACCCTGGCTGTCAGGCACCTTCTCCTCCCTCTGCCCTGCTGCAGTGCTGTGCCTGGCCACCATCCCTAGCACCAGTGTGTGCACACGTGCACCCCCCGCCCCCCAAAGTCCTCCAGACAGTCCCCTGGACTTCCATCCCCCACTCCTCGTACACTTACCTGGGTCCAGCAGCTGGGGCTGCTCCCATGATCTGGCCTCTCTGTATGCTGGCCACATGCAGATGCACATCTGCTTGCTGCCTCCAATCATCCCAAGCAGCCACTTGCAGGTTGCAACACTGCCAGCCTGCAAGGGGAAACCTGCACTTTTGCCAGTTTTTCTAGGACTTCCTTGCAACCCTTTCAGATATTCTTGCAAACCCACTTTTGGGTCACAGCCCACCAATTGAGAAATGCTGCACTAATCTATTCTTGTGGTCTAATAAAAGATATCAGATTTACCCAAAGAACTTTGTCTGCCTATTCCCTTAGACCAACACGGCTACAACCTATACCCCAGAACATGTTTATAATTGGTAAAATATATTATTGTGTCCTCTTCTCTGAATACAAACAGGACTGAAAGGGATTTCCTTCTGACTTCTAAAAGCTAACTCCCTTTCTGGAGAGGCTGGACAGAGACAGCTCCAGTCCTGGTTTTACTGGTTTATGAATTAGTGAAAACATTGGAAAGTGAGATTATAGTGGAAGTAATTTTTAAGGGCTTCCTGACCACAGCAGTTTGTACTGGAATCTGTTGTAATTTTCATATCTATCTTTGGTTTGCTTCCAATAACTGCTGCCTTTGGGAAATAAGGAAGAATATAGCCATCTAAAAGAAACTGGGACATGTCTGCTGAAGCCATTGTTGTCTTGGCTTAATTTGGATTCAGGGAAATAACAAACTTCAAGAATCAGGCACCTGTTTCTTTGGGGCTTTCATTTTAATCCTCTCATCTCATATTAAAGTTGACAAATGTTGCAAAAGAGCAGCTGTGCATAGGCTCAAAAGAGCCATTTCTTAGTATGAATGCATTAATATTATTCACCTCAAAATCAAATGTCTTGTTGACTCCTAGTTCCAAGTTCATTGCTACAGCCTCTTATGTGACATGTCAACTCTTTCCTTGTCATTTTATTTTAGGCTCTCAAAAGACATGAAAGCCTTGTAAGCCATAACTTGGAGAAGAAAGCACACTGAGAGATGAGTATGCTTAGAGTCCATCTGCCAAATCCTAATTTAGAAGAAACCAGTGAAAGGAAAACACTGCTGACCATGTCATCTTTAGCCACAAGGGGAAGATCTTTGTATGTTCTCCTGGTCTGTTGTTCTAATCCTGTGTTATTTTGTTTTGTAGAGAACAAATAAATGGTTTTCTTAATACTACTACTAATCTATCCTGTTTTGAACTGTTTATTATAGGGATTACATAAGAAGTTCCATACTGTCTCAGACCAGTGATCCCTCTAGCCCTGTATCCAGTTTCTGACAGTGGCAGAAGTGGATGCTAGAGGGAGAACATTGAACTGGATAGATTTAGGGTCATCTGTCCCGTATCCATTTTCCTTCCTTGCATCCACCATCATTGGTTTAGAGATGCCAGATAAAACATCTTCAACCATTCTGTTCAACAGCTATATTAATAGATCTATTATCCATGAATTTATCTAGTCCCTTTTTGATCTTGGCTATGTTATCTGCCTCTATCAGCTCCTGTAGCAGTGAATTCCACAAGTTAACTGTGTTTCATAAAAAAATCTCTTACTAATTTTAAACCTGACTCCTACTAATTTTCATAGAGTGCCCCCTGGTTCTAGCATTCTGGGACTCGGGATGCAACAGCTCCCTGTTCTCTTGGTCCACACCCTTCATGATTTTATAGACCTCTATGTTATCCTCTGCCCCTCCTTTTCTTTCCAAACTGAAGAGTACTAACCTTTTTAGCCTCTCCTTGTATGGAAGCTGCTCCATGCCCCTGATCATTTTGGTTTCTCTGCTTTGCACCTTTTCTAATTCTGTTACATCCTTTTTGAGTTGCAGAGACCTCAACTCCATACAGTATTCAAGATGTGGGTGTACCATGGATTTATGTAATGGTATGAGGATGTTTTCGGTCTTGTTTTCTATTCCCTTCTTAAAAATGCCCAGCATTTTATTGGCTTTTGGTCAGGCTGGGAAGCTAGGAGCTGTGCTGCCACTTCTCTCAGCTCCACTCCTCCCCAGCTGGGGCTCCAGGTGGTGGGGAGCTGCTCCAGGGCCAGACAACTGGAAGCTGTGTCTACACTGCTGCTGCTTCTTTCCTTTCCTCTTCCTGCCTCTTAGTTGTGGCACAGAAGGAGTAGCTGTGTGGGCATGCACTGCAGCTACCTGGCTCCAGTGCAGCTCCCTCTACCACTTTCCCCGCTCCCCCCGAAGCTGTGCCTGTGCCCCTGCTGGGGAGCAACAAGTAGCAGCTGTGGCATGGGCAGAGCTTTGAGCTCCCTGGCCTGCACAGGCAAAGTTCCTCCGTGCTCTCCCCACCCGCCACTACGCCACAGAAGCCACCTGGCTTGCGTCGGACAGAAGCCAAGGTGTTCCAGCCCATGGATTTAAAAGGTTGCCAGCAGGTGGTTTATAAAAATATTGTAGTTGCTTTTCAAATAAAACGGCATTCTATGTGAATTCTATTATCTCATTACCTACATCTAGTCTTTGAGGTACTGGCCATGCTGATTTCACTATCAGTTTGAATGAACCCTCTGTGCCTAGGATGGGATTCTTTTAAAATGTTGCTGGTTATACTGTGTCTATACTCAGAAGGCCCTCTTGCTTGCCTTCTTATAGCATGGGGCTCTAAGCCAAAATACAGTAGTGTGTGTTCCTTACAGCTAGCTTGTAGCTTAAAGTTTTAAGATTCTAGGTTTAATACCTTTTCTTTGTATTTTTACTTACAATAGTGATAGTGCCTCTGGCTTAGTTGAGGGTCCTTTTTGATGAAGACCCTGCAGCATCAGGACAGTCCCTCTGTATCCTTCCACAGGAAAGTAACTTGGTCTACGTGCTGGAACCACTTGCTGAGCTGTAGGATCTGCTAGTCCTGCTGTTTGCTGCCTGTTGCACCTTTGCAGGGGGTAGACAGGTGGAGCAGTGCTCCAGAGCAAGTCCTTCTCCAAGACTCGGACTCAGAAAGCCAGAAAGGTGAATCAGAATCAGAAATGTAGGACTGGAAGGAACCTCTAAATGTCATGTAGTCTAACCCCCATGCCTGAATCAGGATCATCCCTGTCCAAAACATCCTATACAAACCCTTTTTCTAAGCTGCTACTGAAATGATAGTCATCCCTGTCACAACCACAAGGCACGGCACCCTAACCTGTTACAGATAAAGCAGGGGGACAATGGTGGCACATGCCCTGGTGCTGCTGCAAGGGTTAAAATATGCTCAAGGGACCCAAAGAAGAGGGCTGTGACCCCCTACTACAGAGGAAAGTAGAAACCCCCACTGTCCATACCAATCAGACCATGGAATAAACTTCCTTCCTAACCCCAGATGTGGTGATGGGTCCAACCACTAGGCCAGACTACCTACAACCCAGTCCTTACAAAGATGGTCTTAGTGTCAGAAATACACCTGTTGCCATCCTTCTGAAATTTGAAGATCTTGAAAAATTGTACATCCATACATGCTTAGTTGAGGCTTGTTAAAGCTTTGGGAGCTAAAACCTTGAAAGACTGAGCAGGCCTTTCTCCTTGCTCTTGCAGCTATGGGAGGGGTTAAGGCCAGGCATCAGAACTGGAAGCAGAGTGGCTGTCCTGAGGTCTCCAGTACTCTAACTTTGCAGTATGGAGGAGGAAGCTGCCTAAGCCAACTGCAAACAGAACAAGAACTGGACCTAGGGCAGGAAAGAGATTGGGACAAGGAATGAGGGGACCCGTGACTGAAGAGGAAAGGGGAGGACTGGGAGCTTGGGTGAGAAATATGGGGAATGGGACTAGGCAGGTGGGTTCACAGTGGTAAGTGAAATAAAAAGAGATGGTGTTGGGGCATGGAGCCTAGACACACCATAATACTAGAGTGCTCTGGTAGTGGCATTTGATTGGTAGGATTTGGGCTGATGTGTTGATGTGCTACTGGTGATCAATAGGGCTGGGTGAAGCTTTGGGTGATGATTCGATTCGGAGAAGATTCGGCCAATTCAGTGGCCGAATCTTCAAATCTGAATCCAATTGGGACCAATTAAAAGGTCCAAATCGATTCAAAGCTCTCTGAATCTTTGGAAGATTTGGAGAGCTTTGATGATTTGGACAGTCCCCGGTGGACTGAAAGGAGCTGCAGCTGGACTTGGAGCTAGTAAGTAGGGGCCAGGGGAGGGGGGGGGGG